GCACCTTCATCTTGGACTTCCAGCCTCCAGAGCTGTACAATGACACATTTCTGCTTCTAGAGCCTCCTGGAGTGAATGTTTTGTTAGGTCTGGTCCAGGACACTGAGGTAGTGCCCACACCCACCATTTGTCTACATTTGCTCCCTGGTAATGAGGTCCCCAGCCCTCGACATACCTGTTTTAGAGGGAAACAACAAAAGTGTGGTAGAACCCCATCAAGCAAGGATGAAAGCCTCAGCACAGAAGAGCAACCCCTCCCTACTATGCATCTATGGTTGGTGCTCAGGGAAGTCATCAAAATAGGAAAGGGAGATCAGAAATTTGCAGGGTAGCCCCAGAGGGTAGGACCAAAGTGAGGGTGGGGAAGCCGCAAGAAGTCAGATTTCTAACAAACATAAAGAAAATTTTCTAGTGGCACTGCAATTAAAAAATGGGATAAACGGCCATGTGACAGTGCAGTGTCCACATTGCCAGGGCAGAAAATGAAATAAGTCACCTGCCCTACTCCAGAAGTCTAAGCCCTGGTCTGTACCCATCTCTACTCAATTCCTACTCAAAGCACTGACACAGGGACACAGTCTCTCTCCAGACCTTGACTTGGACTACTAGCCAGAGCCACCCTCCTGTCTCTCTATCCTACCCCCAGCTCTCCATTCTGCCTCGACACGTATTTTCTGTCGTGGTTTATATCTGGATGTCCTCCCAAAGCCTCGTGGGCTCACAGGCAGTGGCTTTTAGAAGGCCACTCAATTATGGATGCACTGTAGCTGACTTGCTGTCAGGAGGTGGGTTCTGGTTGAGAGAGGTGAGTCACTGGGGGTGTGGCCTGGAAGGCTACATTTCCCTCCCTGGCTCTTCCTTTCACTTTGTCTCCTGGTCACCGTGAAGGTGAGCAGCTTTTCTTCCAACATGCCATCCTGCCTTGGAGCCAGCTGACTACTGAGCTAAAATAAGCCTCTTCTCCTTGTGTAGGGTATTTTGTCCCAGCAAGAAGGACAATGACTAAGACATTCTCTGTGCCCAAAGTACCGCTCTTATTGGACTGGAGGCATAGTGTGTCTGCCCACCTCTCTGGCTCCTATGACTTGTATTTCCTGAAGGCTTTGGGGTGCCCTGTGCAGTGCCCTGGCTTGCTCCTGCCTTGCCCTCATCCCTGCTTGGGCACAAATCTTAAATGCACAGGGAATCAGCACCTCTCTCAGACCCAGAGCCCAACCCTATCCAGATAAATGATCCTGGCCAAGAAACCTAACCTCTAAGTGTCACAGTTTACCTGTCTGCTTTATTTATTACAGCAAAAAATTTGAAAGCTCATTTCTAACAATAGAGAGCAGTAACTAGTATGGTATAAATTCATATGGGACTATTATGTATGCAGCAATGTCACAGAGGAATATTTAGTAATGTGGAGAAATTTTCATGAAATATTAAGAGAAGTGAAATTAGAAAATATTTTTTATTATAAATACATTCTATAGAGAAGCGTACCAGTGAAGGAAGAGAGACTAGAAATATACACATCATAAAGCTAGGAGTAACTATTCTCTAGTCTTTCCATATTTCCAAAATTGTCAACAATAAGCATGTAATGCTTTTAACTAGGAACAAAGACATTTAAAAAATCTTTACTATCATCATTTCAGCTTATCCCTGCTTTTAAAAACCCCAAATGATGTCACAACCTAGTAAAGGACACAGTAAAGGAAGTCCATTACATCACCTTATTTATGCTTTCATAAAAAGTAAGTACAACTTGCCATATTTTGAACTTGGAGAAGTAAAAAGGACAGCTAAGAAAACTGGACTAATTGAAGGTCACATCATGAAGCTAAAAACCTGACTAGACTCCCAAAGGGTCCGTTCTTAAACCCCAGTAGGGATTAAAGATTTTCCACTGCCACCCTGGCCATTAAGTCCCCCTTGGAACAAAGTATGACACGTGCCACCCACAGGTCATTATCTGGCCGCCTTGTCAGGCTGAGTTCCACAAGGTGCTGCATTGGAAAGCTGCCAGCAGAGCCGAGTCCCCATTCATCCAGTTTTGTCCCCTGGTAATGAGCTCCCTCGCTCCCTCCTCCCACCAGAAAGGACTGGATACAGAAGGGTGCCAGCCAGAGGAGCCCCATGTGAATGGCCCATCCAGCAATCCAGGAACTTGGCTATGGCTCGGCCACAAGAGGCCAAAGCAAACAACCATTTCAGTGGGAAACGTCAGCTAGACTCGGGACAGATTGTTTCACTTTTCCCTGGGTGTAGGGGTCTCTAACATGGCCACTGATGTGCAGACAGCCCCCTTCTAGTGTCCTCCTCTGCAGGCCACCAGGGGCAGGTCTCCTCACCAAGGACTGTGGCCTGAGCAATGCACACTGGCCACTTTCTTCCCTCCCTGTGCAAACATGACAAAGCCCATGTTTCACATCTGCAACCCTTTCTATTCCCAATCCAATGTCACACTGTAGGAAAGTGACTCAAAATTTCATGGGCTTCTCTCTTGCACACAGAGCATTGCACCCCAAGGAGTTTGTATCTATACATATGATCCCAGTGTCAGGTTCCTTCAGATAGACATTCCTCCTCTGCAAGGAGTGAAGAGGCCATAGTTCTCATCCATCTGTCCATTGGGCTCCCCCAAATACTTCCTGAAGCAAAGCTAAGTGGCTGCAGGAACTAGTACCCAATTAGAGGAGATAAATGCCGAAACATTCTCATGATCACAAACATTTTTTTATGGCTTGTGCAATAAACAAACAAACCAGTTATTCTCTGCACATGCTATAGTCTTCTTAAATTGCTCCTGGAGAATTCAAACAGTGCATGGAATAAAAAGCCACCTACTGAGGCCAATCTGTGCAGCAGGCTTGCTCTCTGTTGCTCCCTCTATCCAGACCATGAAACCATTTTGGAGAGACTCAAAGCAGCCATCTCCAGAGCTGTGTGCTGTTATGTTTTGGAATCAGATTTGACAGAGCCACCAAGATGTCTGTGCACCATGCAAACAGATACTCAACCAACTCTCCGACTATTAAAGAGGAAAACAGAAGCCCAAGTAGAAATAGGCTGAAATGTTCTTCCTACCAAAGATTCTGCAAACTCATGGATAAGACTCAGGATTCAAAACCCAGCCCTAATGTCCAGACCTCCACTTCCCCCATCCCAAACCCAAACACCTAATCCTGCAGCTTTGCACACACAAACCACCTCCCATGGGGAAAATCCAGAACCTAGCTCACTGGCGGACCCTTCCAGAAGAGGCAGGCTGGAAACCCGAGAAGCACTTAGCATTGCTGAGACTTCAGGTGGAGGTGTGAAGGGTGATTTTTCTATTTGACTCTATCATCAGAAACGAGCACTCAGTTTTCCAACCTCCATTTCCATCCCTGTGCTGATTCATCTATTTGCTGTTATTACTACAGGGAAAAAACTCCTCAGGGACCTAGAGTGACACTGGTCAAGTCTGAGGCCAACTGTGGCTGAACTCGGGAGACCTTTCACCTATATGCTGGTCTGTTATGGACTCAAGCATGCCTTGCACTGAAGCTTTAACAGTAACAAAAGATCGGTGATGACCCAGTGCCCATATGCAGACACCATGGACGTCCTTAACCATGCAGGGCAGGGGGACAGCCATCTCTGCCTGAGGGGTCCCCTCCAGGACACTGCGCCACAGGTAGGTCACGAGGATAGGAAAGCACATCCTCCCCACCCCCCACCCCCCACCCATCTGTCTGCACAATATTTGTTCAACAAAAACATCAACTCCACAGCCAGGATGGGCACAGAGAAAAATCAGCATCCTGGTGTGTCCAAACCATAGGGTCTTGGAAAGTCTGAGCCCTATGAGGCAAACGCCTGGCAGACATGAAGCTTTTTGTCAAATTCAGTTCAAATTCTATTCTACCTGAAACCTACAGATTTTAATTAACTTTATACCGCAAGGCACACTGCCTTCGGGAGGCACGAAGCTTCCCCAGGTAGAGGTAATTTTCTCAAAGCTCAGCACTCAGTGACTGGGGATTCACCAGAACGACCCAGCTGCTTTAGGACACAGAATTATACCTGGGGAATAAAGGCTGGAGAGCCTCAGCAGGCCAGACCTCACCTCACACACAAGCATCCAGCAGTGCCTACCGGCAGTGTCCCAGGGCACACTCTGCAACACGAGCAACTTGCAATTTAGCACCCCCCCGACCACCACTAAGGATTGGATCCAGGGCCTTCTCACATCCCCAGTCCAATTTTTTTTTTTTTTTGAGACAGGGTCTTGCTAAGTCACTAAGTTGCCCAGGCTGGATTTGAACATTTTTGTGATTCTCCTGCCTCAGCCTCCCAGAGTGCTGGGATTACAGGCCTGTGCCATCACACCCAGTTCATTTAGTTGTTTCTTACCCTAGATCTGCAGGCTTCCACCTTTCTGGTATAAAATGACAGTGCAAAATAATCATTTTAAAATAGAAGCGCATATTTTATTTCTTCGTAAAAATCCAGTTCCTGAGTACACCCATGTTACTGAGAATATGCAAGTCACCAAATTCTATACCAAAGTGATGGCAATGCAATCGTCTTCCTTCTGAGTTATGAAAAGACAATAACCAGGAGATTCTTTTGACTCTTCAAAGCTGAGTTTTCCAATATGTGGACTTCATGTATGCCTTGGTAACTAATACCACACGGCCCAAAGCCCCCAGGCCCTCAAGCAGACAAAACATGCCACTCTCCCTGACCTCAAGGTCCTTGCCCTGCAAGGCTTGTTAAGGCTTCAGCCCACAGGAGCGCAAACTCGGCTGCAAAGAGAATCACCTGCAGTGCTTTCAAAAGACTGCTACAGCCCCAGACTGCGCCTTCCATCAACAACAACAGCATTTCTGGGGTGCACCCCAGGCCTCCGTGTTTTTCAGAGACCTCCACACACGCAGGCAGCCACCAAGAAGGGTGGGTGCCTTGGAAGGCCAAAGCTCCGCCACTCCAGTGCCCACGGCCTGCGCAGCCCAGGCAGCGCCTACCTATGTAGAGCGAGGAGTCCTTCCTCCGCACGTGGTCGTCGATGTAGGAGACCCCCAGAGGCTGCACGGGGGTAGCACCGATGCCCAGGAGCACCTGGGCCCCAATGAGCAGCAAGTACATCATGTTGGTGGCTGTGCGGTTGCGGCAGATGAGGTCGGGGTCGGGCCCCTCGTTGCCGCCAGAGCCGTTGGCTGCACAGACGTCGCGGCCCTCGGCGCCCCAGCGGATCTCGCCCGCCTCGTACTTGTACTGGTGCGTGAGGAACTCGGGCAGCGCGGACAGCAGCGCGCCCAGAGCCATCACGATGCCTCCGCAGCCGATGAGCCGCGGCCGGTGCCCGCGCGCCCCGAAGTAGCTCACGAAGAGGATGAGCGCCAGGTTCCCGATCTCGAAGCTGCTGGCAATCACGCCCACGTCTGCGCTCTGCAAGTTGAACCTGCGCTCCAGGGTGGTCAGGACGCTCACCTGGGGGCAGCAAAATGAGACGTCAAGGCCAGTGCGGGACGCGGGGTGGGGGGTGGCGCATCCCCGCCCTTCCCCCTTCCGGGAGCCTCCCGCCCGGCGCGGGGACGCAGCCACAAAGCCAAGGACACCGGAAAACACAGACACGTTTACCTGATGCGATGACCCTAATCCAGAGCTTGAAGAATTCTTCCCCAGGGGCAAAGAGGGCTTTCTCAGCACCTGTTTCCAACTTGAAAAGTTCTGCTTCTCCTCTGGAAGCGCTATTTCCCCAATCCCTGCACCTGCCCACTGTGGGTGCCTGAAATCCCACAAAAGTCCCGAATTACTGCACACGCTCCCAAATACACACTACAGATCGAGGCCATGCTGGGAGGTCATCAGACTTAGCAGAACCCACCAAAAGAAAATAGAACCGAGCAAAAATCAAGCGGTAAAATGTATGAGCTAGATTCGCTCAGTGGGGTCCTCAAACGCTCCACTCCTTGTGGAAATGTGGGATTCCCTGAAGGCCATCAGGTAAATATCCCTGACTGCTCTAAGCATCACAGCCCTGCCAAGGACCCCTAGATGCAGGATTTTTATGATTTTCTTCACCTTTGTATTCTTGTGTGTCCTGTATTTCTTTAACAAATATTTGTAGAACATCTGCTGTTTGCCTAGCGATGCCCGAGACACAAAAGATAGAAAAAATGAGAAAGAGCCAGCACCTGGCCTTAGGAGGCCACCTGGCAGGAAGGTACCATGTCCCCAACTGTTAACACAAAGCGAGGGGAAGTGACATTCGTGATGCAAAGCGTACACCGGGTGCCAAGAGGACATGCATTACCAGAGGGCTTGTGGGGGTGGAGGGAAGAGGAGGTGGCTTCCCCGCCCAGTTTGTAGGCTCCACCAGGGTGTTACATACAGAACAAGTGTCCCTGTCGGGAGATCTGGCAGCTGAAGGAGGCCCTCGCGGGCAGGGAATTGCCGGGAAAAGGGAAGAGCAGAGCAAATGTTGTGCAGTACAAGCTAATAACAGACTCTTTGGCAGGTGGGATGAGGGCAGATTATAAGGAGCTTCGAATGTCACCATGAGGAATTCAGGCAATCCCAAGCACTGTATAGAAAGAATACTTATTATGGAGTGAAGGAAACCTGGGGGAATCCCTGGCTTTCCTTAATCAGCTGTGATCTCAGTCAAATCACTTCACCTCTCCCAACCTTTATTCTGTGAGATAGGAATCATGACGTCCCCCTGGCAGGGTGCACGTGAAGGTTAGAAATAATGCAGGGAAGCTTATGTGGCACAGGGCAGCCTTTCCCTCAGGAGCAGGGGCACACAGAGCAGTGGCGTGGCACGGGGCCAAAGCCCGGGCCCTGGGTCCAGACCTCCTGGCTCTATTGTGACCTTGGCCAAGTCACTCTGTGTTGTGGCTTCTCTGTCTGCAAAGTAGGTTTGAGAATGCTGCCCCCCAAAGCTGGTGCCAGCACTAAACCACCTGTCCGTGTAAATGCCGGGGAAGGGTCAACAGAACCATGATCGTTTTCTTCCTTTATCTTTGGGCACCAGGAAGCATTCAATGCTCTGAAAGCCTCAGGGCCACACCAGGGCAAATGGGAAGAGTGGATAAGTGCGTGTCAGCAGAGGAAACAACAGGCTGTTCTTGGGAGAAGGGCAATGGAAAGGCCATAACCCACAGGGCTGCAATGGAAACAAACAGGAAAAGATGGGAGAATTTCTTTAGGGGCTGAGTTCTATTTCAGGGCAACTGGGCTGGGTCTGCTGACCAGTGCTAAGGGAAGGAAGGAAAGCCACAAGGAGCTGGACTTCCTCCTCATGTATAAACAGGGACATGGTTCTAAATGTCCATGCACGCACGTACAAACACCTGTGATAACTAGCATGCCTCTACCTACCTTACTATTCAAAGAACAGTGTAGCCAGCCCAGTCTTCCTCATCTCCTGTTCAACCATACACATTGAAACAGGTTCCCTGAGCCTAGGAATCCTCAGGGCCATCTTAAGATTGGAAGCACATGGCGTGCACTGAAAGGTGCAGGTGCATGGGCTCAGGAGGAGTAGAGTTTCTGACTCAGATGGTCTGGGGAGCAGCCTGGGTTGTGTTTCGGGCTCTCCAGCTGATTCTAACAAGAGTAAGAAGCACATTGCTAATGCAAACACGCCATGGTGGTCTCTCTGTTGGCATGGGTTGTGGGCCAGCTCTACACAGCAGTTGTGACATCTATGTACTCCATCTATCACCAGAGTTCCAGCTGTGATCCCTATTCTACTGTGCTTTTTAAAAAATGGTGCAACTAGGGATTGAACCCAGGGGCCAAGTGTGCTAGGCAAGTGCTTTTAGTGCTGAGCTACATCCTTGGTCCTTCCACTGTACTTTCTAACCAAGGCCAGCTCACAACTCATTCAGCCCTAGAGACATGAGTAGATTGTTATTTTTCAAATGCCAATCACTTCTCGGCCTTTTGGCTAAGATCAAGTGTATTTTTCAAATGCCAAGCACTTGCAGTTGTCGACAATACAAGTTTGGCTGGTCCTGACCTCATTAAAATGGCTTTCAGATATCCTCAAATATGTTCTTTCTGAAAGTTCTGGACAACTAAAAACAAAAGCTTTCTGATTTCTACTGTTTCTGTCCTAATACTTACCTATATGATGGAACACATGCTCGAACAGAGGTTTGGAACAGGTATTGCAGCATAAGAGCAGACAGAACAGCAGCCTTTAGGTTAGGACATGGGGGCCTGCGGGGCTTTACCCAGGCCATTGGCTGGGTCTTGAGAGATGCCCAGGGGTGGCTGGATACAGAAGTGGGGGCAGGAATGAGCATGGGTCCCCTCGATGCAAGAGTCATCTTGAGCAGCCTGGCAGTATATTCATCAACTTCCTGCTGCTCTGACAAAATAAGACCAACAACTTAAAGGAGGAAAGGTTTATCTCGGCTCATGATCTCAGAAGTTTGAGTGCACAATCACTTGGCAGTGTTGTTTTGAGCCTGCTGCAAGGCAAAACATCATAGGAGCAGCACATGGTGACGAAAAGCTGCTCACTTCCTGGTGGCCAGGAAAGGGTGAGGGTGGGGAGCCAGGGTCCCAAGGTCCCTTTCATGGGTCCCCCCACCAGTGACCTAAGTTCTTCCCATTATGCCCCACCTCTTAAAGCATCCACTACCTCCCAACATCACCCCAGTCTGGGGACTGAGCTTTTAACACACAGGCTCTCGAGAAATATTTAAGAGCCACACTTGCAGGTGGGTCTGCAGCCTGGTGACCTTCACCATGGTGGTGAAGGGCAATAAAATGGGAGGAAGCATCAAAGCCCAAGTCACATTTCATTTCTGCACCAGGCATAATGACATACACACTAGCCAGCAGATCTGAAACATGACAACTGTCCCATTCAGTAGCCGCACCCATCATAAAATCCCATGCAGATGTGCACATTCATGAGGACAGATAAGGGTGGTGAGGACAGAGACGTCTGTAAATAAAACAAACCAATCAGTTCTTCTAGAGATGGATTAATGCCTACAGCTCTTGGCCCGGCTCAAACCTGCTCTTTGCTCTTTACCGGGCAACCACAGGGTGACAGGAAGTAGCAAGGTCTCTCCCAGCTTGACCTGTGGCCTGCAGGGACGCCTATCTGGATCTATGGTTAAGTTACACAAACATTCTGAAAGGATATTTTGTGGATCAATTAGATCAAAGGCTAATGTCTTCACTCATTTAAAGCACAATTTTGAGAAGATGGACTAATTAAGTATGCATGAGGCCATAAAGCCCACTTGTGGCTTTTATGTGGTAGTGAACAATTCAGCAAGGAGGAAGCTCTGCCAAAGGGAGTGGCTGCCTTTACTTAATGGGTAACAGAGCTCACAGAAACATCTTAATAATTAGAGACAAAGGGTTGGCAGCTCCAGGAGAAGGAAAGAGGAAATGCCCTCACCTGGGCCAAGCAGAAATGCAATATTTATCAGGTTTTTACTACCTTAATGCAAAGGGAAAATGCTTGCATTTCAGTATCTCCTTTGTTAAAAATATAGATTCCCAAACCCTGAGATGAAACCTGGAAACATGAGGAATTTGGGGGTTTTTGTTGGTTTTGTTTGTGGTGCTGGGGATAAGAACTCAGGGCCATATGCATGCTGACCAAGTGCTCTACCACTGAGCCACACTCCCAGCACAAGATTGTACAGAACCCCCATGGTCTCTGATGCCCAGCTGGGGCCAAACACCCCGATCTTCCAGGCATACCTGCACCATGAGTCTAGGGCAGTGATGGCGAAGCTTTTAGAGACAAGTACCCAAACTGCAGCCCAAAACTCATTCATTGCAAAGTGCCACTGCTGCAGTTACACCAGAATACTGGGGTTTTAGGTTAGCAAAAACAACTCATACATTAACACCTTTTGCCCTAAAGGAAAAACAACATGCATGCCATAGGTTTGCCATCACTGGTCTAGGGCTATGGGTCCAACCTTTACTGGCAGCACAATCGACCACAGAGGGTATCAGAGGTTCGTGAGCAGGAGCCACTCTTCAGCAACAGCTTAGCACGCTGCCTGGCCCGGAGCGAGGAGAGACTGCAGTCACTGCGACAGTCCCGGTGAGCAACGAGACTCCAGCAGGTCGGTGCTGACATGAAATCAAGTGGCACTGTGTGAGAGATACCCCAGAGGTCAAAGTCAACACACCTGGCTGTAGACTGGGAGCATGGGATAGAGGAGACCCATGTTAGAAAGCAGATGCTAACAACAGTCCAAGAGACATCAACCTCACTGTCCTAATGAAAAAGACACGGGGTCCCCTTTCTCAGGGGTTCCTGATCAAGGTTTGGCACATTTTTTCTGTAAAGGGCCAGACAGTAAATATTTCAGTCTTCTGGGCCATGTGGTCACAGTAACAACTACTCGCTCTGCCTTTGTAACACAAAAGCGGCATCCATAGGCAATATATACAACAAATGGACATATGTGAGTTGTAATAAAACTTTATTTATAAAA